TATCGTTTTCCGTTATAAAATCATTATTATATTAATTTCAATATATACTTATTAATACCGGTTTGGATATGTATGTATTATATATATGTTTACATATTCAAACATATATACATACTCACTTTTAATAATACACTGCAGTGTTGCAATAGCCCTTACAGACAGGACACGTATCGAGTCAATTTTGAGGTTCGGAATGATGGATATCATTTGCCTTAGCTCTCATTAAAAAGCATACAGGGAAACTTGTTTAATTCGTGGTGACCAGTTACTATTTGAACGAAACCAGTTACCATAGAGATACGTTTAACTGCATACTATGATAATCGTCTGCTGGATGTACAATTTCTTCTTTAGTGAAGTCTCCATGGAGGACAACCAACCGAAAAATATAAAGTAAGTACATTTGTAAACGCACGTGTTGATTTTGATACTTATCATGGATTAACTTTATACACAGTATTCCTATTATTTCTGAATTATACATTAAGATATTATCCAGCATTTGTTTCGTCATAATTTATTCAACTTATGCATAGTTTGTATAAAAGAAATTATGTCCAACATAATTTAGCTTACTTTGAATATCAGTTTTATCAATAATCAGAAAATCTGTTGAAAGGAAGCCTTTAAGTTAAATATTTTTTATTTTATTTTGAATTTAGCAATTGTCTCCAATATATTTCCAATAATGACTGTGGTAATTTCATTTCTAGCTTTATTAAAACGTGTCTTGGGAAATAGATTACCTACTTATTGAACTTATGTGAGGTAAGCAATTACCCATCAAAAGCACAAGTGTTCGTTTCAAGTATGTTATGGCATATCATGGAATCTATTTCTATTTCGGTGTCTTTTCTATTTGTTTCTTTCCTATCGACTTAAAGTTCAGATTTGACATTTTGGACTTGCTTTTTATTGTCATATTTCATTTTGCAACTCATTTATATCTCATATTAAGAAGTTTGCAGCACTACAGCCGTAACCATTGATTAGTTCCAGACAAGCACAAGTACAAAGAAAAGATGTAATGGCTATTAGGGTCAAAGTATGTACACCAGATCTACGGAATGAAGTAGTCGAGGGTGTTTGCCTCGATGAGAATGAGCAGATTGAAACAGAGGTTTACCATATTCATCCTCGTCAAGTAAGCGCAGTGTGTGATTTGCCAACGCAGAAGGCAGAGGAATCTCTGGAAATAAACCAGTCTTTTGACGAAAAGGAAATTCTTGTCAAATGTAAAGAAGACAAGATAACATTTTCGGTACTGTTACCCATGATGAAACAGTACTGGAAGTACAACCTAAGAATAAAAAGGAACGGAACCTGGGGCACAACGGAAGGCAAACAGAGGGTATGTTCTCATTAGTTATCACTAAATACACATAAAATTTGTCCTTTCTGTAATATGTCGGCAACTAAATATCAACTCAAGAGTAGCATTGTCTCTGTCTTTCCCTGAAACAGCTAGCCTTCATACTTTCATAACATAAGAAGTATTCAAAGACATACTCCATTGAATGACGACAATTTAAAACGCGACTTGTTGTTAAGCGGTGATGTTTCAAGCATACAGATTTATCTTTTCCTGTGCAAAACCGGGTAATTCATCTTATTTTACTAAAAGTGTTTGAGAGAGGAGGCGTAATATTTGAAGTTGAAATGGATTTCGGAGACAAATGGTGCTTGTCTTACATTCCTATGGAATCAGATTGTATTCAGTTATTTCTTTACAATCAGGACATTAAATATAGTGTGCTATCTCACATTGTTGCATGTAACTCGTACTTTTGTATGTGATTATGTTTGATTATGTTTGTCAAGAATGTATATGTTCATCAACATTTGCTTAGTTATTACTTTTTTCAGAATAAGTATATTGACTTCGAGTTTGAACTTCTGACAGCAGTATATGTTGTCGTCACGTCAACCACACTGGCACAGTCAATCAACCTTTTTCCTACTGAAACGCTAGATTATACGTTTGCAGAAAACGACGAAATTAAACTACACTGTCCTAAAGGTGCAGTGAAAGAACAAGAACAAATCGATGTATGGGTAAGTATTTAAGATAAATGTACAATTTACTGATTTCATATTCTCCTTAATATAGAATTATGTACAGGGGATAACGCTAAAGTGATCAACCATGAAATCAAATCTGAACAAGACTGTACATGTAAAACTGCAGTTCCGGGTAGAGATCGACAAAAATAATCTTACATGGGTGTGGTGCGTGCACAGGGAAATCTTCAACCTCGGGTAAGAGTTTGGCTGTCCAGCAATCGGTTTGGTCTTTGCCGATTGTTGGACAGCAAGGGGATTGAATGAGCTATATCTGGTGCATGCCTAATCACAGGAAGTGACGATTGCAGTTGTCTATAATAATAAGAAGAAAAAGAATTTTTTATAAACCGCTTAATCACAACCTAGTTCGAAGGTCGTCTCAAAGTGGTTC